GAGGAGATAGATATTAAAGGAAATACTCGAGAAGTTCCCAGATCAGTTTTCCCTCAAGTAAAGCATATCAAAACAATGTATTCGTACGCAATGTGTAAAGTACACCGCGCACTGTTTTGTTTGGTGTGCTCAGTCGTTCAGAACTCCACGCACTAAAACTGTGTTTCAACGTACACACAGGAGTGTTTTGTTGATGTGTTTTGTTGTTGTTGTTGTTGTTGTTATTGTTTTTTGTAGTTTTTTGTCAGCAAAACTGACCATGCACACAGTACAGCAACAAACTCACGCCGAGTCGTGTATACAACCAAGGCTAGATGGTTTTGTAAAGTTTGAATGTAATTTGATGACGTTCTTTGAAAGTCATCAGGTTAACATCTTTGACCCCCCCCCCCTCTCGGCGAGTACGATCTGACTGAACTAACCGTTCCCATCCCCAGCCCCAGAGAACTACTCACCACGACAGAGACCAAGCTAAAACAAGCTAGATCTAGACACTGAACATCCTGGACTTTGCAGGCACGGTGCACATGACAGAAAACAGCATCACGCCATCTCAAAGACCTATCTACCTCTTTGCCAATCCTTGAACATACGCAAACAAATTCTCCAAGTGCCAAAAGTTACCCATGGTGTGATCTAGTCAAGTACAGACAGACAAAGCGCAGTACGACACAATCAGCCCAACAGTCACAACCAAACAACATAGAAGCCACGAGATCTCAAACGTCATGCTCAGTACAAGTGACAGCTCGCCATGTTGACACACACACCAAACTTGAGTAAACAGAGAGGACAGACAGAGAGAGACGAAAGTCAAAGAAATAAAAACAAACGTAGGATTATGTCATGAAGTACACTTTTATCTAAATACGGACTTTGCGTCCATCTGTTGACGGATTTATTTTGTTTTAATGTTTGGGGTTTTTTTTGTTTGCTCCAGAAAGGGAGCTTATGAGAAACCTTGAGACTGGATGAAATAGAATTTTCACTTTGGCTTTTCACGTTTGCTGGTGTCGTTGTTCTGTTGTGCAGCACTTGAAGAAGTCCATGTAAAACAAACTTTATACCTCTCTGGGTCCGATGGTTAAACGGCGAGATTCCTGTTTGAATCTCTATGTCAAGTCACTATAAACAAGGTTTACTTTATGTTCCGGCTTGTGTTTACGTTCTTGTACTTTAGATGCATGTTGTGGGTGAGTCTTTAAGACCCTCACAACAATCGGAACTCACAATGTCGTTGTAATTGCACGTCGACATATAATGACATCTTTATTATTTCTGTTAGACTTCAGTACTTTTCAGGAACAGTTTACTCTTCGACAGTCTTTTCTGGCAGAAAAAAAAATGAATTCCTCAATGTGGTAAGATTGTCTTTTAACTAGTTTAAACAAAAACCATACAATCCATAGAGGTAAAATTGTGCAGCTAAGCTGAAAAGCACAGATTCTAAGAGAAAGTAAGCCACCCTGAGAAATAATAAGACAAACACGTTTCTACTTTGGAAAAGGGACACAGGATAAAATCATAAACAAATCTTCCAAAGATATATAAACAAATAAAAAAAACACATAGACAAAGAATGCGGAGAAGGGAAAGTGCCATGACGGAAAAAGAGAAGGGATTTTTTAAGGAGGGGGGGGATGATGGGATATCTTCGCGTCCAGAAATAGAACCAGCACAACGAGCACTCTCTGTCTCTCTACGACAGCTCACCTCAGCCCACACGTGCGTCAACGAACAGCTGACCTATGCAGCACACCGTGAGAAGAAGGCAACACGAACTAGCAGACCACGGAGAACACAGAAGGTGTGTCCACATTTGCCCTGCACAGACTTGACTGTTGGCAAACACGATACTTTGATGTCAGTGAACAGATCGAACATTATGATTCCATTTTGATCGTATAGATCTGTAATGTTGGAGAGGAACGAAAAGAAATAGAAAGGATTGCTCGTATTTTCCCTGCGTGTTCACGTTCTTAAGTCGTGAGTTCTTGGCATTAGGGACAGGGGCCTACTCAACTTCAAATTAGAGAATTAAATCAGCCGGAGAAATGATGAATAATTCTCAACTTAAACGTAGAAAATGATAGTTTCAACCATTTTAGATTCCCATAACAAAAATTATTATGATCGGAAACTTTATATTCGATTCACCGTTCTTAAGGGATGGAGAGGGTGCTACTGGATTTGTGCTCTTTTGTAATGTTAGTATTATTATTATATAATACAACGTTTTCTGTTGTATAATCGTCTTCAGTGTAATAATTATGGGTATTAGTGGGAGATTTGAACTGCTATCACCGCGTGTTCTGTGGTCACACCTTCTGTCTGCTCCAGCGGCTCTATGGAGAAATGTCAAAGTGTACTAGAGTCGGGGGAGGCCCGGGTACTGTGTGTGCAGCCACCACACTCCACTTACGGCACAGCATCGAACGCCCGTTCTGGTTCAGGCTCGGGTTCGGGTTCGGGTTCGGGGGCCTCGCTACAAGAACACAACACGATCAGATGAACAAAAGATCGCTACATACACGTAGACACACGGCCACTCATGAACCAACATTGCTGGACAAAAGATGGCCTTTTACTGGTATATTCTACTCACAGATTATACTGATGAGCTAAAACTATCTTTGCAACGTCAGCATAAATAGGCTGCGTCACCCCTGGGCTAACTAACTAACGTTATCACTTGAGCAAGGGCATGCCAACATTATAGTATAGTATCTATGCACATATGTTTCTATATATATGTATACCACTACTATGTCTAAACATATATATATA